TCCTCCCACCCGGCCCGCCCCTCCCTGTCTGGCCACGCCCACCAAGAGACCCAATTGGCCTGGGGTGCCCCGCCCACGTCCGAATTGCCCAATCCGCTTCCACCCCGCTCTCGGGTCGCCCCGCCCAGGCCTCAATGAGTCAGCCCTGCGCTGGGCCGGCTACGCCCGCTGCTGATTCACTTTTCCGCGTCAAGTCCCCCCGCGCAGTGCTGAGCCCGAGAGAACGCCCCCCCCAGCCCCGCCTTCTCACGGGCCGGGTGGGCAGACCCCGAAGGGCAGACGGGCACCCCTCGCAGGGGGATGTATTGTCGGCGGCTGAACGGCACCGGGTGTCTGACCGGTGGGCTCAGGCCAAACAGGATTTAGCAACCTCCCTACTTGGGTTCAGGTCAGGAAAGAATTCAGAGGCAAGACCCAAACTATAAGAGAACATTTATTGGGTAAATCATAGAAGTACAAGAAGTAATTCCTAGAAGAAATGGGCTTAGGAAACGAGCTATGGAGGTAAAGGAAGGGCCCTTGGAACTTGGGAGTGAGGAAGCTAATGATAAAGTAGGGGGGGCGGTATCCCTGAAAGGGAGGGGAGGGAAGGGGAGGGGAGGCGAGGGAAGGGAAGGGAAGGGAAGGGAAGAAGGGAAGGGCGCGCTCCCGGGAGGGAGAGCACACTGGGTCCTCCCTCCTACTGGTTTTAAGGGCAGAGATTGTAGGCAGCTCCCAGGGAAGATCTATAGAATTTCCTGCGGTTTTCTAGGTGGGTCCTTGCAGGGTGGTGGTCCCCACTGATTGGCCGGCACCTGGGCAGGGGGTCACTATTCCCTGCAGCTGGTCCTGAGGTCGGCCGTGGCTGGTTTGGTTGCTTACCTGGCCCAGAGCTGCAGTACAACTGGGGCCTGGATGTTATCTCCCAGAGGAAAGGTCAGGGGGTCTAAACCGAGTGACCAGAGACCAGGGATAAGCTAGGGAAGGAAAGGTCACCCTGGGGGGAGGCCCCACCCTACCACTGATTGTCCCTTGCCAGGCACCTGGGGCCTTCCACCTGGCGCCCTTCCTACCAGGCCCATCATCCTTGCTCTGCTCACACCTGTCTAACTGCCTACAGCAGATGGACCATTTTGTTGGGATTTTTCACTTCCTAAAAGTGTTTTTCTTTGGTTTTCTGACTACTTATTGCAGAGATTAAAGCTTGTAACGACCTTTACTACCCGCCTTTGTAGATGTGCATCCTCCTCCCTTTACAGACGGGAAACAGTCCTGGGGAAGCTGGAGGACTCGCAGTCCTGGGGGGACAGAGACTCCCCCAACTGAGAATTGGAGCGGCCCTGCCCCGGAAACCTCCTCCCTGGGGGCTAGGGCCTTCGACGGGAACCCGCCCCCCACGCCCCCCACCCCCACGCCTTGCACTGCGGCACTCCACAGTGGACATTTTTCTTAAGGCGGTAAAAGAGACTTCTGTTGATAAAAGAAGGCAACTTAGATGGCACAAAAGGAGGGATGGGCATTTTTCAAACTCAAAATTGCATGGGTATTGATCCAGGTTATGAAGCAGAAAAAAGCACACAATGCAATGCCAGCAGGATGGCTGACTTTGTGCTCCAAACCTCAGCCTCTCTGTGCCCCAGGCTCCTCCCTCCTTCCTTTTCTCTCCTCCCTCCTCCACCGGCCTCTCCTGGCCTCCCCTGGCCATCATCCTCTCCCTCTGGAAAAAAATGAGCTGGTTTCGAGTCCTCCTTCCAACGCTAAAGGAGAACAGGATGTTTAGAAGGAAACTTTTTTTTAAAATATATTTTATTGATTTTTTACAGAGAGGAAGGGAGAGGGAGAGAGTTAGAAACATCGGTGGGACAGAAACATCGATCAGCTGCCTCCTGCACACCTCCTACTGGGGATGTGCTCACAACCAAGGTACATGCCCTTGACCGGAATCGAACCTGGGACCCTTCAGTCCACAGGCCGATGTTCTATCCACTGAGCCAAACTGGTTAGGGCTAGAAGGAAACTTTTAAGAGGAAAACAAAGATTATGCTTGTGTGTATATGTTTAGTTCTTATCTTTTAGGCATCCGTCCTGAAATATTTACAACTTAAATGTTATGATGCCTGGAATTTCCCTTAAAATGCTGAGGGTTTGGGTGAGAGGGTGGAGATGTAAAGTAAGATTAGTGTGAGGTGAACATTTTTGAGGTCAGTTATGGTAATAATATGGCACATAATTCAGCCATATATATATATACACACACATTTTCTGTATATATTCACATGCCTCATGTATAACACACACACACACACACACACACACACACACTGACCCAGAATCTTCCTTTTAACAAAACTCCCGCATTGCACACACACCAGTTAGGGAGTGTGACTGCGCCCCCTACGGGTCCCTTTCATCAAGACGGGTTCTCTTGGCCAGGCTTTGCCAAGGATAGCAGTGAGTTTGAAATGCCACTCCCTGACATGGGTTTAAAATGCACCTACTTGTCCTCACTGGTTTGGCTCCATGGACAGAGTGTCAGCCCAGGTTCGATTCCAGTCAAGGGCACATGCCTGGGTTGCAGGCTTGATCCCCAGTTGGGGGTGTGTAGGAGGCAGCCGATCAATGGTTCTCTCTCATCACTGATGTTTCTCTCTCCCTTCCTCTCTGAAATCAGTGAAAATATATTTTTTAAAAATAATAAATAAAGATCAGGGTTGGAGAACCGAAGATGGCGGCATAGGTTAACGCCGGAGATTGCTGCCTTGAACAACCAATTCAAATTAAGCCTGAAACAGGGAACGGACAACATCCAGAACCACAGGAGGGCTGGCTGAGTGGAAATTCTACAATTAGGAGTAAAGAGAATATCATACCCAGACTCAGAGGAGGCGCA